CGGAAGTAGTACCTCAGGTTAAGAACTTTACCTCAGGATGAGAACAGAAATTGTGCACTGGCAGCAGCGGGAGGCCCCATTAGGTAAAGTGGTACCTCAGGTTAAGAATGGTTTCAGGTGAAGAACAGACCTCCGGAACGAATTAAGTTTGTAACCAGAGGTACCACTATACTCAAGAGCCAGTGTGGTGTAGTGGTTAAGAGCGGTAGTCTCGCAATCTGGGGAACCGAGTTCGCTTCCCCGCTCCTCCACATGCAGCTGCTGAGAGGTCAAACAGATTCCTCACTGGCCTTGCAGACAACTTCATTGTCCAGAAAGTGGGAGAAGCAACAAGAGGAACAGCCATTTTAGATCTGGTCCTAACCAATGTTGATGACCTGGTTAGTGGGGTAGAAGTGGAAGGATCATTAGGCGCGAGTGATCATGCTCTTCTGAAGTTTACTATACAGCAGAAAGGAGTAGCCAAGCATACTAGGACTCAATTTCTTGACTTTAAGAAAGCTGACTTCATAAAACTTAGGGAAGTGCTGGGTGAGATCCCATGGACAGTAATACTAAAAGGAAAGGGAGTTCATGATGGCTGGGAGTTTGTTAAGAGGGAGATACTAAAAGCACAACGTCAGGCAATACCAATGAGACGGAAACATGGAAGGTGCCTAAAGAAGCCAGGGTGGCTATCTAAAGAACTTTTAACTGAGTTAAGATTAAAAAAGGATGTGTACAAAAATGGAAAAGGGGGAAAACCACCAAAGAGGAATTCAAACAAATAGCCAGCACGTGTAGACACAAAGTCAGAAAAGCTAAAGCACAGAATGAACTCAGGCTTGCTAGAGAGGTGAAAAGCAACAAAAAAGGCTTTTATGGGTATGTCCATAGCAAAAGGAAGAACAAAGAAACAGTGGGGTCACTCAGAGGAGAAGATGGTGAAATGCAAACAGGGGACACAGAAAGAGCTGAACTCCTCAATGCCTTCTTTGCCTCAGTCTTCCCCGATAAAGAAAACAATGCCTGACCTGAAGAATTTGGAGCAAATGATTCAGCAAAGGAAACACAGCCCAGAATAACTAAGGAGATAGTACAAGAATACTTGGCTAGTTTAGATGTATTCAAGTCTCCAGGGCCAGATGAACTGCATCCAAGAGTATTAAAAGAACTGGCAGGTGTGATCTCAGAACCACTGGCAGTCACCTTTGAGAATTCCTGGAGAACAGGCGAAGTCCCGGCAGACTGGAGGAGGGCAAATGTTGTCCCTATTTTCAAAAAGGGGAAAAGAGAGGACCCAAATAATTACCGCCCAGTCAGTCTGACATCAATACCAGGGAAGATTCTGGAGCAGATCATTAAGCAAACAGTCTGTGAGCACCTAGAAAGGAATGCTGTGATCACCAATAGTCAGCATGGATTTCTGAAAAATAAGTCATGTCAGACTAACCTGATCTCGTTTTTGACAGAATTACAAGCCTGGTAGATGAAGGGAACGCAGTGGATGTAGCCTACCTTGATTTCAGCAAGGCATTTGACAAGGTGCCCCATGATATTCTTGTAAAGAAGCTGGTAAAATGCGGTCTTGACTATGCTACCACTCAGTGGATTTGTAACTGGGCTGACTGACCGAACCCAAAGGGTGCTCATCAATGGTTCCTCTTTATCCTGGAGAAGAGTGACTAGTGGGGTGCCCCAGGGTTCTGTCTTGGGCCCGGTCTTATTCAACATCTTTATCAACGACTTGGATGATGGACTCAAGGGCATCCTGATCAAATTTGCAGATGACACCAAACTGGGAGGGGTGGCTAACACCCCAGAGGACAGGATCACACTTCAAAACGACCTTGACAGATTAGAGAACTGGGCCAAAACAAACAAGATGAATTTTAACAGGGAGAAATGTAAAGTATTGCACTTGGGCAAAAAAATGAGAGGCACAAATACAAGATGGGGGACACCTGGCTTGAGAGCAGTACATGTGAAAAGGATCTAGGAGTCTTGGTTGACCACAAACTTGACATGAGCCAACAGTGTGACGCGGCAGCTAAAAAAGCCAATGGAATTCTGGGCTGCATCAATAGGAGTATAGCATCCAGATCAAGGGAAGTAATAGTGCCACTGTATTCTGCTCTGGTCAGACCACACCTGGAGTACTGTGTCCAGTTCTGGGCACCACAGTTCAAGAAGGACATTGACAAACTGGAACGTGTCCAGAGGAGGGCAACCAAAATGGTCAAAGGCCTGGAAACGATGCCTTATGAGGAACGGCTAAGGGAGCTGGGCATGTTTAGCCTGGAGAAGAGGAGGTTAAGGGGTGATATGATAGCCATGTTCAAATATATAAAAGGATGTCACATAGAGGAGGGAGAAAGGTTGTTTTCTGCTGTTCCAGAGAAGCGGACACGGAGCAATGGATCCAAACTACAAGAAAGAAGATTCCACCTAAACATTAGGAAGAACTTCCTGACAGTAAGAGCTGTTCGACAGTGGAATTTGCTGCCAAGGAGTGTGGTGGAGTCTCCTTCTTTGGAGGTCTTTAAGCAGAGGCTTGACAACCATATGTCAGGAGTGCATTGATGGTGTTTCCTGCTTGGCAGGGGGTTGGACTCGATGGCCCTTGTGGTCGCTTCCAACTCTATGATTCTATGATTCTATGACCTTGGGCCAGTCACACTTCTCTGAAGTCTCTCAGCCCCACTCACCTCACAGAGTGTTTGTTGTGGGGGAGGAAGGGAAAGGAGAATGTTAGCCACTTTGAGACTCCTGAAGGGGAGTGAAAGGCGGGATATCAAATCCAAACTCTAAATTGTTGAAACCGCTCCAGTGCGAGCATCCTGAGGCTTCTGGAACCAGTATGATGAGGCCCCAGGATGCTTTCATTAGATCTTGTGGGTCCGTCTCAGTTCCTGAGGGATCTGACAAGAGCACTGCAGACCCAGCAAGGCAGAGAGCTTAAAAGTTTATTTTGCACCAAGCTTTCCTGGGGCAGAAACAACTTTTAAGTTCTATGGATTGCTAGCATTTAACTTGCAGGATTCAAATCATTGACCTTCAACCGCATATAGTTGAAATACACATAAGAAGGGATTGTACTGTGCAATACATACACACACACGTATATATACAACCACTTTGATATGTCTCATTAAATTGTGGTGCGCAAGTTTCTTTATTTCTTTTTACTAATAAAATATAAACAAACAAACAATGCAGTTACACAAAAAGCATTTACCTCATTTGGTTAGAGCATGGTCTGATAACGCCAAGGTTGCAGGTTTAAATCCTGTATTGGACTGCTGCATATTCCTGCATTGCAGGGGGGTGGACAAGATGATCATCAGGGTCCCACTCTAAGGTCTGGTATCTTTTTCATACCCTGGTTCTAAATTCCACAGCGCTTTTTATACCACTATCAGCACCATGAACTTAGCCTGGTAGCTAACTTACAGCCAGGCCAATTCTTTCAACCGTGGGGTAACTTGCTGGCAATATCTTGCCCCAGTGAGTAGTGGAGTTGTCATTGGAGTATTCAAGGGCACCCCACACAGAGTGCACTGCAGTAATCTGGCCTGGAGATTAACAGTCCATGGATAACAGGCTCTTCAGGTCCAGAAAGAGCTACAGCTAAAGAACCAATTCCTACGCTGTGAAGAACAGACCTCTTCATAAGATAATATTTGCAGGATGCCCTTCCCATGCAGAGTGCAGGTTAGAAACTATCTAATCTTATCTGTATATACCAAGGATAGGAAACCCAGTGACCTCCAGATGTTCTGGACTACAACTCCCATCAGGGGTGAAGGAACCTGCATTCTAGAACATCAGGAGAGCACCAGGTTATCTCTCAAATCTGCAATGAATTGCCTCACACTTCCAGATTCTGTTTTGTATTCACCCTCCCAGCCCTTTTCTTTTTTAAACTAGAACACCTTACCTAAAATGCTTCTTCTAAAATATACCTGTTACCTCTAGCTACATAATTTGGTAGGATGGCACTCATGTTTCCACAAGGCAATATATTTTTTCCTAAACAAACAGATAAACCCGGCTTTGATTATTATCCTCGTTGTTAATGGGGGGTGTCTTCCTTTCAGCAATCTTCCTGCACTAGTCATTTGTAAAATAAAGTCTGCTATATTTTAGAAGGATTTACTCTTCCTTGTTAAGCTCTAAAGAGGTTTCTCTTTGTAAAGCATTTTTTTAATGGGGTTGGGGGAACGGTGAGGACCCTCCCCCATCCTTTTGCATAAAACGGCAAGGAAATAATATTCCTCTTCTTAGCAAACACCACCACTTGAAAAGGTTACGCTGGCCTTTCCAAATACCACCTCCTGTGCACAGAACTCAGTGCTAATGACTCTAAGAATGAACAGCTACTTTCTAATACATCTTAACCTTTGAAAAATGGGGCCCTCATTGTCTTACCTTCATAAGCAATTTGTTCACCTGATGTCGTTTATCTCTTGACAAAGGCCACCGTGATGGAATATATGTATGGAATGTAAGAACCCGGTCAGCTTTTGTTGACAGTTTAAGGGAACATAAATTGTGTGATGATTATGAGGCACCACTTCCTTCCCATACTGTACATTCCTGGCAGCAGGCTCTGAATTCATTGTGCAATAGCCAAGCCTTGATTGCTCCATTTATACAGGGCATCTGCATGGCATCATGGAAAAGCACAGTTCCGCTACTCAGAAGTTGGAAAATCCAATTTACTTTAAAAAACAACAACAACCCTCTGACAGTGGAAGTAGAACATTGTGGCTAATAGTCATGGATAGCTTTGTCCTCCCATGAGTTTGTCTAATCCTCTTTTAAAACCACCCAAAGTTGGTGGGCATCAATACATGTTGTTGTTGTTGTTGTTGTTGTTGTTGTTGTTGTTGTTATATTTATTTATAGCCTGCCTTTTCCCTGGCAGGGATTCCAGGGACTCAAGGCGGATTACAGCTAGAAAAGAAATAGCTAAAAACACGGGGGTGGGAAGCCATAATTTAAAAGCATTACACGGGCCCTTAGGTGGTGCAGTGGGTCAGCGCATCTGGCTGTTAACCAGGAAGTTGGTGGTTCAAGCCCAGCCAGGGAAGTCTGTGGACTGCCTTCCAACTCTACAATTCTATGAGTCTATGATTATTGGAATTTAACTACAGTGGTACCTCGGGTTAAGAACTTATCGTATTTTTCGCTCTATAAGACGCACCAGACCACAAGACGCACCTAGTTTTTGGAGGAGGAAAACAAGAAAAAAAATATTCTGAACCTCAGAAGCCAGAACAGCAAGAGCGATCGCTGTGCAGTGAAAGCAGCAATCCCTCTTGCTGTTCTGGCTTCTGGGATAGCTGTGCAGCCTGCATTCGCTCCATAAGACGCACACACATTTCCCCTTACTTTTTAGGAGGGAAAAGGTGAGTCTTATAGAGCAAAAGATATGGTAATTCGTTCTGGAGGTCTGTTCTTAACGTGAGACTGTTCTTAACCTGAGGTTAACCACTTTAGCTAATGGGGCCTCCCGCTGCTGCTACACCACCGCTGCGCGATTTCTGTACTCCTCCTAAAGCAAAGTTCTTAACCCAAGGTACTATTTCTGGGTTAGCGGAGTCTGTAACCTGAAGTGTATGTAACCCAAGGTACCACTGTATTAAGGATCTGTTAAAACATACAGAGCAATATAACAAAAAAAGGAACACAGGACACAGGAAGCTGCCTTATAGTGAGTCAAACCACTGGTCCATCTGGCCCAGTACCGCCTGCACTGACTGGCAGCAATGGCTCTCCAGGAATTCAGGCAGAGGACCTTCACAGCAGTGGAGACCGCGCCTGGGACCTTCTGCCACAAAGCTGCAGTCTGATTCCGTGGTCCCACTGCACAACGTAGCCCACGCTTCACACTCAGAAGGTTGCAGATCCAACCTCCAGGCTCATCTCTTCATACACCTTCATCCAAAAGTCTCCTCCTTCCAATTAATTTGTTTTGAGATATTATACATTTACATTTATTTTCTCCGCCTTTCCTCCTGTTTTATTTGTTGTGCAGAAGTTCACCAAGAGAGCAAATGCAGCTGACAACGTCAGGGTAAGGAAGAGGGGGAGGGGTGAAAATCAATAAGAAATCAACTTTGATTAATGCTGTTTGACAATTTTTTCACATTAATCACATTTCCGTGCTCTGGAGCATGCAAAGTGGAAAAATCTATACTCATAAAAACTGTAATTGGGAACATTCTTTCTACTTACACAGAGGCAAAGGTGGGGTGGAGGGAGGATTCGCTGAGCTGAACTGCAAATCAGTGAAATCACGCAGAGAAGAAAAAGCAGTCTCCTTTTCTCAAGACTTCTGAAGCGTAATGGAGACTCAGAAGGAGACGCATCAAGACAGTCTCAGCCCCAGAGGAGATGACCACTTCTAAACAATGCTTTCCCTCTCCCTCCCTCTTTTTAAAATATAACTTTTATTGCATTTTAAATGAACAAGAGCACACGTCTAAAATGTGTGCTAATATTAACATAAAATACCAAAATAATAAATTAAGATTTAAAAAAGCAATATCATGCACATATACATTCACTGCCAGAACAATTTAAAAAATCAGTAACAAAAATGGTGAAACCAAGCCTTGATATGAGCAGAAAATAAACTTTGATTTTTCAGGGGACGGATGGACATAAAGTGATATAATTATCCCTTATTTTCACAGGGAGAAGGAGAGCGAAGCTGATGATCACACCCAACAACAATTCAAAATTTTATTCTCATTGTATTAACCATAACCACTTGAAAGCTGAGAGAGGTGAATGATTATGTTCCTAATTGCTAACATAAACAACAAAACAGTGCCAGATAGAAATAAATTTGTCCTTTCCTTTTTGGCTTCTTGAAATCCAGAGTTTGAAAGATAACTTTTCTAAAAGGGCTATTTCCAACACCTTAACACAGCAATAAATCAGTTCTACCCTGGCCAGATCTCTCCAAAACGGGTTATTGTTGCCCACAATGCTGTCAGGTTCATAACTAGCTCCTTGCACTGCCGTCCCAAACACTGCTTGTCAAAACACTAAGCTTCACCTAAATCAGTTTTGAATCCAAGCACGACTTAAAAATAGGCACCCAAGGATAACGCTGGTATGCAAACAAACCACCAGGCACCACTCTGTCTTCTGCCATGATAAAGCTGTCCTGACAACACCACAGGCAAAACGTATCTTAATTAACTTTTACAGAACTGATTCCTGTACTAGGAGTCAAGCAGTTAGTTCCCCACAGAGGGAGAGCTCCAACACTCCCAAAGATAAGAAAAGCAGCTTGGCCAAATATTCATTAGCCTGACACAACCTCTGTCAATTACATCAATTATATCAATTACATCAGTGCCAACCATCACATTGCCATGATATTGGTGGGTGAAAAGAGTTGCAATCTACATCTGGAGGGCACCAGGTTGACAAAGATTAGACTAATATTTGTAGGAAACAGTTGTATAAACAAGAGCACGAGAAAAGGCTGCTAGATCAGGCCACTGGCCCACCAGTCTCTTGTTCTCACACTGGCCAACCAGATGCACTATCCCCTCCTGAGGCTTCCAGCAACTGGTATTCAAAAGCACTGCTGCCTCAGAGCATGAGACTCGACATTTCAGGGCTGTGGGCTGGAGCCCCACATCGGGCAAAAGATTCCTGCATTGCAGGGGGTGGGGCTCTACAGTACAATTCTATGATTCAAGCAATGGAGGTGGCTAATATGCACAGCTTGCAGACTTAACATATAGAATAAGAGAACAAGAAGAACATACCTTTAAAGAAGATTGGAAAATGTTTATTGACTATATGGGAAACAATTGTGAGCTGAGAACGCTGGCAGCATTAAGATAAATTCAACAGTGCAAACAAGTTTTGATGGATGCAATAATAGAATAATGAATGGTATAGTTTTTGTAAAATATGCAGGGATGTATGTTATGCAAAATGAAGCATGGAAAGAGAAGGGAAGTCATTCATATCTTAAGGATGTAAAATGAGTATTTTAAATTGTAAAACAGAAAACTTAATAAAATTATATACAACATGGCTAGCAGCCACTGATAACCTTCTTCATAAATTTGTCTAATCCTCTTTTAAAGCCATCCAAGTTGGTGGCCCTCACTGCCTCCAACAGGAGCAAGTTCCATTTTTTATGTGCTGTACAAACAACTTTCTTTTATCTGTCCTGAATCTTCCAACATTCAGCTTCATTGTCACCAAGTTCTAGAATTGTGCATATCCTGCATCACTGCATATTTCCCACCACCCACTGACTACAGAAGAACACAGAGACACAGAAAACCTGCTCTATACTGAGACAGACCTTTGGACCATCTTGCTCAGTATTGTCTGCACAAACTGGCACCAGCTTCCCAGGGTTTCAGGAGAAGTGTCCCCTGCATGGAGATGCTGCAGACTGCACCTGGGGCCCCGTGCATGTGGAACAGATGTTCCACTGCTGAGCTACAGCACCTTTCCCTCAATCCGCACTCAAACGCGAAACTTCAAGGTACCAAGGAGCAAGTGTTGGCAGTCTTCACAGTACATGGCAAAACAATTCTGGGTCTTAATGTGACAACTTGTTAGCTCCATGGCTCTATAGACCAAACACTAACTCTCTAAAAATAATTCAAAAAGAAAGACATACAGCAACAGAAGCCTACCCATCACTCACTCCACCCTGCAGGACTCCTATATGAGTTTTGAGCAATGCTGTCAGAAACAGGGAAACCACCAGAGAGAAGGGCAGCAAAGAATCTTCACTCAGACCTAATTGTGGATTATTCTCCACAATCTCTCAATAGCTAATAGAAACAAGAAAGAATCCTGCTATTCCCCCTTACAGATGTTTCTACCTTGAGATACTGATTTATTTCAGGAAGTAAACTCCACAGACAGGCACACTTTCTAGCATGGCTAATCTAATGTTTTCATATATCTCTGACCATCACTAGAATTTAATTCCAGGTTGTATTGCCAAATCAATACCTTTTCGTGTAGCAGACTTGCGCCAGTATTGGTTGGGTGCACTTGTTATCTTTTCAGGCCCTCTGGGGTTTCACCTGGCTGGTTTCCTGGAAACAAAAGCCTGTCGCTTTGAAGAGGCAGGATTCTCAATCAAAACTGGGAGCCAATCGGCATTCAGCTGTAAGTGGAAATTTGGGCAACAAACTGGGGTGATATAAGCCTATGTTCAAAGCACATGGCTTCCTTACTACACAGAATTATATGCTGGGGGAAGCTGCCCAGATGCTGTTGGACTCCAGCTCCCATCAGTCCCAGCCAATATGGCCTATGGTCAGGGATGATGGGAGTTGTAGTGCAATAATGTTTGGAGGGTGTGATCTGAATAAATGCATTCCTATCCTCATTTCACCCCAGCTGTATTCATGGCTTCTTGCTTTGCCATGGTATTGACACCCAGGGGGGCTGCATCTTCCTGCCCAAGCTGCTCCCCAACAGGTGAAGCCACAGGAACCTCACCTTTAACCCTCTTTCTTTTGCTCACTCTCACTATAAGCCTTTCCACTTAAAGATACACCTTGTGACATCTTCATGCATCCTTTGCAGCCATATTATGCGTATCCACTGAGCCTACTTGCAGTAAAAGACTTACTGCTTAATTAATAACTTCACCATGAGCAATTAAAGGTGTGTTGGAAAGGAGATAATACATTTTATTCTGCATGAAAGCATTTGTTTTTCTTCAGCGAACAGCTGAATGCATACAGCAATTAAACAAATGTTCAGTTTGGTGCAACCACGTAAATTCAGGCACAACTGAAGTATTATTCCTCATCTTCACGTTAAATAAAGAAAGAAATGTTTCCATAAATTCCTCACAATAATCAGATTCTCTGTGCGAAGTATGAGATTCTATGTGGAATAGAATTGCAAAGAGCTCCAAAAGGATATCTCCTAAACTGGGTGAATAGGTAATAAAATGACAAATGTGATTCAATATAAATTTATTATTATTATTATTATTATTATTATTATTATTATTATTATTATATTTGCATCCTAGGACAAAAAAATAAATCTTAATTTCACATACATGCTCACATGGG